TTGTGATAATGTATATAATTAATAAATGTTGATAATGTTAATAATATTTAGTATTTGTGTACTCAGAGCAAGATTTCTTCAGTTTGTTATTTTATATCAGAATAGTAGTAAACTCTAGTATTGGTCATATTATTGTCCTCTTCTTTTAATATAATAAATATTGGAGGGCAGACATATAAGAAATTACAGTAATTTGAAAATTAAGGTATTGCTCAGCTATCTCTATTAGGTAGCCAATCCCTAGTTCATAATATGCTCAATTGAATTTAGATTGATCTGTGAATAAATTATAACCAGAACCAACTTATTCACCTTAAAGCTTTGCTGGCTTAATGTTTCATTGTTGATTCATTATGTTGTGAGTTTTCTATTGACAGTCTAATGCTTTTTATATCTTGATAGAAACAGCTCTACTGATAGATACAGCTATCTTTAAATGAACAGGATTTAACTTATCCAGTGCGGACAAATTCATCAGTGAATGAAACCCTTGAGAAATACTAAAACAAAAATCAAACTATTACAGGAGATTTGCACAGTTCCTCACTTACAAGGTTGTTTGTTGGAAGCGTAGTGCAAAAGATTTGCCTTTGGATGAAAAGACAGATGAGTGTCATGCTGTAGGATGGTTCTTACACCAAATTGATGAAGTGGTCTACCCCATTTGATGTTGGATAGTTTCACATGATACAACTTCTGTTAGTGTTACAATAATGAATACAAAGGCTTCCAATTCTAAAAATGCCTTCTTAGAGGTCTGAAGGTTATCCTAAGAAGATGACCTTCTTGCTATTGAAATTTGACCTTTCTCTATCCTGATAGCTTCTCATCAAAAGTATTGTGAATACTAATGAATAACAGAGGTTCACATACTGTACATACTATATTGGTTAACAAAGCTGAGCTATGGACCATTAATTTCCTGATACGGATCTTGCTTCTGCTAGTGACTATAACTTCACTATATGCAATAAGGGATTCATCTACTTTGCACAACCATTTCTTATACAGCAGGATGAGCATTAAAAGATCCTTAAGTACTCTTATTATCTTCTACCTGCTTTTGTGATCAGCATATCCAAACTTCATATGTCTTACATTTTGTCTCTCAACAAACATATTATTTATAATAACAAAAATACTATACTGATGTTTTATAACATTATACAACCATTAAGAGGTTTTTGAGGGTACCAGTCTGTCCAACCACTTTTTTTCTCCAATAAAGTTCCAAGCAGGCTGGCACTAGCTTTTCATGTACCTTCCTAAAAATAGGATTAATCCATTTTGAAAAGAAGATATAATTGAATTGTTTTGATAGCTGCCAGTACATCAGATGGTCTTTGAAGATATTTATCCTGTTTATTTAGACTGCAGCTGTTGCTGAATGCAGTGTAATAAAACATCCAAAAGTAATTGTTTAAAGTCTAAAGGCAATAAATATTTGGAGGCATGGAAATAGGTGACAGAGATTTCAAAATTAAGGGTCTCTTCCGCTGTGGTTTGCATTTTACTTAATGCCTGCTGAAGTTAGACAAACAAAGGCAGGATGCTCTGTGAACTGGCTGAAAATCAAAGCTAGACCACATGAATAAAGTGAGAGAAACAGGAACCACAACATAAATCAGTAAGCTGTAAAACAGCCAGAATGCCAAGGTAACTAGATAAGAGAAATTCAAGGAGCAAGGATTTATAATAGTAGAATTCCAGTAGCCTACAGAACTTTTGAAGATATTTTTATAGCTGTTGCTATAACATCAGCCTACCCTACTGCATTCCAATTGGTTGTATTTTAAATAATTTCAGGCGGTCTGATACTTTCACTCATGAATTTATTTGTAGGGTTCCAGATTGTTCCAGCTCAATGGCGTAAACCAAGTATTCTGCTGGTAATTTGCTGATAATCTTAGATACAATTAAGTGTTCCCTTATTCAAATATACTTCAGATATAACAGGAGCTGCTTGCCTATCTTCATTACTGTTGGAAAAAACTTTGCTTCCTAAACAGCTTATTTTTTGTCAACATCTGTCTAAATCAGACCGATGCTCGGCTTTTAGATTGCATAGTGGTATGGTGCATGGGACATTTTATAGAATTTTTCCTTCTTTCGGATTTCTCCACTTACGTAAACTTTATTTTCTATTTTTCTTTTTCTTTTTTAAGAAATTGATGAGATGTTGTTTAAACCGAATTCAGGTAGCAGTAGAAATTTGTTTCAGAACACTTGATTCTCATTCAATAGACGCATTGATATGTGAATTATTTTGCATAAACTCACTTTCATTTCTCACTCTGTGGGCAAAATACAGTTTTAGCTTGGATTATCACAAAATTATTAATAATAAACAGTAAAAGTAAATTTCAGTGTGAACTGTTGGGTGAGAAGAAAGGAATTAGATATACTGTAGGCTTCTTGTCAGTGCAAGAAATCTATATTTAATATGAAACACCAAGTTTGATCCTGAAAGTGATAGTGAGTTGCATTAAATGACTGTTAAATTGTTATGTAACTTGGCTTGCTTAGTTCAGTTAAATATTTCTAGATAGTGAAAAAGAAGATAGGTTTTCCTATAACATGTTCCATTTTCAAGGAAGAAGCCAACACTAACAACTTGTTTGGATTCATAACATTATTTAATAGATCAAATATCATAATCACCTTCCTGAGTTGAAGCTGGCTTTATCCAGTTGACATATTGTCATTATCTGTGGGCACTGGCCATGTTCATAAACTGGAATCAGCATTCTGAAAGTATTTGAAATTTAGCATTCTTCTCCATTACTGCATTATGTGAAAGTAAGCCCACAGGCTAAAGATTAAGTTCAGTGAGGTCAAACAATGAAATGAATAAAATTAGCACTTTCTAGAGTTTGCATAGAACTTACTGCTATTATAGTAACAGATCCTATATCCCTCTAACTGCCATGTCAAAATAATCTAAGAGCATGATTTATAAAGTTTTGTGGCAAATCCAGTGACTCTAAGGAGAAGGAAAAGTAAAATGTTAAGTAAATGGGTTTTCTCCAAGTTCTATATCCATTGAATTAATTTTCTTGCTAATATGAAAATAAATGTGTCATTTTTCATTGTACAAGTATTTATTTATATATACATGAATTTTATAAATGTACAACTTCAGAGATTCCAACTTTGAAATGTACTGTGTAAAATGTACAAACATATTGTTCTATAAGATCATTTTTACATGGTTACACTTTCCAGCTTCCTGCACCCCAAATCTTCCAATCTATATTCTATTATATTTTTACCATGAGCAGTCATAACACAAAATCTCAGTAGTGCTTCGGTTTGTAGCTAAAACTAGGAAAGTATAATATATTGAAAATCTTTTCAAAATTACATAAATGAAGCATGGTGACAAAAAGAAAGGAATATAGAAATGGTCAGGGGAAATTTATCTGAATATTAAAGCTCTAATCTGTGGATTACAACTTTAAGACCTGACAATTTAAGAGACTGCTTCCCCTGTAATGAATCTGTCCAATTGTTAAGACCAAAAGAATCCTTTCAAAGGTGCCTCTTCTGTTAGAGATCCTTTCTGCTGGCATACAAGTGCTGGATTTCTCTACCTTTGTTTCTGTTCACTTCTTTTGGAGTTGTGATTGATCCCTCTCTCTTTCAGTGTTTAGGGAATCTATGAAAACACCTCTTTCAGCAGGCCTTTAATTGTTACACAATTTTAACCATTATCATTATTGTATTTTGAACATTTTGCATTCTGTTCTAATTTTTTTAAAAAAAAATATTATGCTTTTTCAATTTACATAGATCTTTAACATTTTTGACAAATACTGTGACATCATTGTCTGTTCTAATTTTTAAATTCCATCAGGTGCCTTGAATGGTTTGCTGTTTAAGAAATGAAATCGATGTCCTTTACTTGGAATTATAGTTGTTTGGAATTAATTACCTAGAGTATCTTTTAGTTGCTGTGTTGTTGGTGTGGGTATTATAATCAGCTATAAAAGAATGGCTTGTACCTCATCATTGTGTGGTGTGTAATGTTTAAGAATAAAAGTTACTTCAGAAAGACCCAGATGAATACATTTGCCTCATTATTCTCATCTGTTCTCAATTCATATATATGTAAATATCTAATCATACCTTCTTCTGACTTCATTCTAACCTGCTGTTAGAAATGTTGTTAGCATTTCATCAGTTCAAAAGTCTTCCCTTTTCCATTAATGGAACAAACATCCCATTTAACAGCTTAGTCATGGATAAAAGCAAGTTTCCTTTCATGTCCATTTCTAAGATCTTCTTGCTTTGTTCTCATTCAAGCTGGATTTTATCTTCTGTTGACCACATGATTTTCTACAGCGCTTGTAGTACATCCTAATACTCCTGAGTTCTTCACAGTATCTGTAGTACATCTTAATACTTCTGATGTTTTAGCCTGAGATCCATGACGGATGTCTTCTTGTCAACTAAGAGCTATAAAAATGACAGACAACAATGGGAAGAATTACAATATAAGATTTGGCAATATATATTAAGTATGTATAATGTCCAGTCAAAATATATAGCTTAGCATTGTGGAAACTTGCTCATAATACCTTTGATACAATCCTTTATCCTAAGTGCTAAATTTGTGAAGTGGGAGGACTAGCCCTATACATTCGTAGCACAGCTCTCTGTGCAAAATGTCGATCAGCTAGGCTTTTGTGAGATGTAACAAGATCGCCTTACCTTTCTCTCAAACCCAGCTCCACATGCAGCATTTACAATTAAAAAAAAAAACTTTAAAAAGGAATGTGGATATTTGATTAGTTAGCAAAATATATATGCGGCTCTTTAAAAACAGATTAAAAAAAAAAATCCTGAAGCACAAAGAGAAGGAGAGATTGGTTTAGCTTTCAAATCCTCAATATAACATGCCTGATGTTACAACTAAAAACCTGGATAGGGATCTCAGCTTTGTTTGCAGAAGGGTGCCAGGACTGCAGCAGTAATTCCATGCCTCCTATTTCTTATAGAAACTTCCCAGCTTTGGACCCTACCTTGAGCAACGAAAGAAGATAACAGCTGAAAATAAGCTGAAACTAAAGGGACAGAGCAGCCTCCTTTCCCAGCTTGAGAGAAAGTGTTTTGTTCCAAAGAAGCCCATCCCGGCCGTGAAGGTAAGAATGAATGAAATTTCACATAAAGGAAGAGCAGCCTTCTCCAAACAACGTTTTTACATTTGTTTTTTATAATTGTATTTTGTTCTGTGGGTGTGTGACTAGCATATCAATAATCTTATATATGTAATCCTCGACTTAGACCCATTTATTTAGTGACTGTGCAAAGTTACAGCAGAACTGGGGGAAAAAGGTGACTTATGGCTGGTCCTCAGAGTTGCAATCCATCCCAGCATTCCCACTGTCGTAAGATCAGAGTTTGGGTACATGGCAACTGCCTCATATTTACAACGGTTGCAATGTCCCAGGATCATGTGATTGCCACCTTCCCAACTGGCTTCCGACAGGCAAAACCAATGGGGGTGGGCTGGATTTGCTTAACGACTGCAGTGATTTGTTTAAGAACTGTGGCAAAATATTTTTTAAATTGAACAGAACTCATTTAACAACCACTTTACCAGCAGTGAAAATTCTGGCTCCAATTCTGGTCCCAAGTTGAGGACTACTTGTAGATATGTATTGAGTAAAATGACTAAAATTCATTGTTTCTGTGGTTTAGGCCACTATTTAGATAACTAGAAATTGATATTTGCATTAGGCTATTTATATCTACCATGCAGTAAAATACAAAAATCAAAGTTATGCTGAAATGAACTATATCTCTGTAGTGTGGTTTTGTATTTTCAGGAAAGCTAGATTAATATATACAAGCATAGTGTGTTGGCCTCAGATAGACCTGTGAAAGTGAGTCTTGGGTTTTTCATGTTGTGTGATCCTTGACATTTTTCCCTTATACACTTTACAGTGTTGTAAAAGGAGTAGTGACATATGACCAATGTCTGGTTGTGTATCATTATACTTCCTCTCTCAGCTGCTAGTAATTTACATAATATTGCTATTTCAAGCAATGGTTTTCTGATACCATTGTATCTTCATGTCTTCTCTCTGTGTACATGAAAACATTTTTTGCACATGAAAACACCACACAAATATTGTTCTTTATTTATTTTGAGAGGGCTTGGTGCTTTCAAAGACATTGTCACCTTAGGGGTTTTAGAGTTTTATTTTCCTTGCAGGAAAAATATTGATGAAAACATCAGGGAGAAAAACACCTGCAGTTTCACTGAGGGCTAACTTTGCCATGGCAGATGAAATTGAGAATTGAGAAAAGATATTGAGGAGAAGTGAAAGATCAGATAAAGACAAATGGAGAGAGAGAGAGAGAGAGAGAGAGAGAGAGAGAGAGAGAGAGAGAATCAACTACATTTATATTTTGCATTTTTGCTATAAAAAGAATTGAACAATTAAATGAACATGTAAGCAAGAGTTTGAACAAAGATAGTCTCTTGAAATAATAATTATAAGGAGAGATTGGGCAGAAACAGATTACATTTTTTTTAAAAAAAGGAATAATAATTTTAAAATAATAAGAGCTGATTTGTAATCAAGTATCAACCCAATAAAATAACAACCAAAATAGAAGAAATCCATGAAACAGCAAGGAAAATAGTTTCAAAACACCAACATTCCAACTTTCTTTTACATTTATATTCCATCTCTCCTTCAGGAGTTCGAAATGGCTTATTTGCACTTGCTTTTTTACAAGTCCTGTAAAACAGGTTAGATTAAGAGAAATTGGCCCGTAGTCACCGAGTAAGCTTCCATTGCTAAGGTAAATCTGAACATCATTCTTCCCAGTCCTAATGTGATACATTAACTATTACAGCACACTGACTTTACAATGCTCAATATTCTTCTGAATAAATATGCTTTCTATCTCCATCATCACTTAAAAATTGAGCCACGATAAGGTAGAGAAATTACTGTAATACCTATTGATTGAAGTTGTTCCTCGTGAAGAATTATTTTAAAATCTAATTATTTTATTAACTGTGTGTATTAAGTGATCCTGAACCTGAACTTCTACAATAGCATTGTAAAAAAATGTAAGAGTTCTACTGAATGAGACAGTAGAACAACTTACCTAATCCACCATGCCAACCAGAAACTTCCAAGAAGATGACAAATATGAACAAGAAGATGATAGCCCTTTTCTATTTTTGGTTCTCAGAATCTGGAATTTAATTTATACCACTTATGAGGCTAGAAAGAGATTATAGCCATCAAGACTAAAAAGCATTCATAGATCTTTCCCTTAATGTGTCTGGTTCTGTTTTATTTCTGTGACTTCATCAGGCTTGACTCTTGGTGATTGCCTGAAATAGTCCCTGCAACTTTCTTGGCAACATTTTCAGAAGTGATTTGCCATTATCTTCTTCCTAGGGTTCAGAGAGAGGGAATGGTCCAAAATTATTCAAGTGACTTTGTCCCCAAGGTAGGAGTCCTATGGGTCTCTCTGTGTGTACCTTAGAGTCAGTGGCAATTGCCTGCGTGAATCATGCCTTTAGCCATTACCTTAAATTGGCTTTCTGTCCTGATTTTAAATCATCTGTCATCACATCTAATTGTAGCATATTTCACAGTTTAACTGTATGGAGCAGTCCCAAGTTTCAAAATATATGGTTTTAGTGAGTGACAATAAGCACTAATATACTGTAAGAGGCAAAACACTAAAAGTGTTCTTGTTTTCATATCCCCACACTGAGTCATATGCTCCCCTTTGTTCTTTAGACTTCTCAGTTCCCCATTTTTTAGATTTCCACAAATTTCATCCAACCCCAATTTTTTCTGGTGGGTTCTATTTCTTTTCTTTGCCCCTTCCCCTAATCCATTCACTCTTTCCTTCAGAAATTTGTTTACGGTGCAATTTTCATTCATCCTCTCTGCATAACCAAAGTAGCTCAATGCTTTTTTTTCATATTGATCACTCAGTTTTGTATTCAATACACATTCATCAAACCCTCCTTCTTATTTTATTACTCCTTAAGTCGCCTATTTCTACTGTGTTCAGCTTATTTTTTTATGTTTCTTAGGACAGATCCAACACTTACTTCCATATAGCATAATGGGCAGGACAACATTCTTTCCATAGTCCTTTTTTTCTGTTCTTAACAAATGTTTTCTAAACATGATTATACCCAAATCCATGAAAGCCATCTATTTACTGTAATTTTCCCCAATGTATGTATAGTATATTTTGCAATGGTTTACACCATTTTACCTGCCATTTTAGATTCCTTCAGTTGTACACATTTTTCCTGTTATGTACTTTTGATATACCAATATGATCTTTACTTCAGGCTAAAAAAAAATCCCAGACATGATAATGTTTCTTATAGAGTAGTGTCTTTAGCCCATGAATCATCTTGGTTGCCCGTCCAGCTCTTTAATATTATTTTGCGAGTGAGACGATCAAAATTACACACATGTTGATTATAGTGCTCCAGGATAAAAAAGGAACAAATCCTTCTATATCAGTATTGTTTTGCCATCTTAGTGACCAGTTCTCCAAAGATGGAATCACCATAAAGTTGTGTGTAATGCCACACCTAGAACCATTAGAAACTATAAGAATGTATTTAAAGGCATTGCTGTACTCGGCTGCTTTATTTTCTGTTCCCTTTGTAATCATTCTAAGAACTTTAGGTCATGGTGCACTACAAATAATTTCAAAAATATGTTGAACTGAGCCTTGGAGTCAAAAGAGAAGACTTTTTTAATGCATATCTTATATATTGCCCAGTGAAATCTCCCCCCCCTTTGACCCATAGTTCTACTTGTGCCCCAACACCTAGAGAGCTAGATTAATGGCTATTTAAAACAGGGCCTTTTTATTAGCAGCATCCTGATTGTAGTGCTTCCCCCAGGCCAAAAATGAAGTCAATCCAAACTCACTTTTCAATATTGTTTTGCGAAGAAACAAAACTATCTTAATTTAACATTGTTTCGAAGGCATATTAAATGATTTTGGCTCCCTTGCTTCTTGGATTTATGGTGAGTTTTAATTGTTTTTATTGTACATAGCCCTAGGCACCTGATAGGTAGGAGAGAAATTTATAAATGCAATAAATACATTAAATAAACTGCCTTCAGTTGCAAAGAATCTACATGAATAATACTGGAGAGTTCTACTTAAAAATACCAGCTCAAAATTGTTTCTAATATAATGGACTGCAAAGAAAATGTTTACAATTATTATGTTTTTGTTGGTTATTCAGAGTGCCAGATGTCTAAACTATATTTTTAGCCACTTATCAAGTCCTTTCCAAGAATCTGGGATATGCAGATATTATTTTATGATGTTAAAGGTACCATCACTGCATGTAAGCTGTTCCAAGTAAAAGTGCCTTTTGCAATTGACTGGTGGTGATTTTGTCAATGCTGATGGTGTTCACATGGTGCTCCAGATGTTTTGGCATTGCACCCAAGTCACCTATTATTATTGGTACCATCTTTGTTTTCTTTTGCCACAGTTGTTCTACTTCTTTTCATTCTGTGATTTTTTTTCTCCAGTTATTTCTCTTCTAGTCTATTGCCTGAAAATATTCACTTTCCAGACTTCTTTGCCTTTCTTATCAATAATTGTTAAGTCTTGGGTGTTAGGTGGCAGGTGCTTGTCTGTTTGTATTCTAAAGTCCCAGAGCACTTTAACTTCTTCATTTTCTTCTACTTTGTCTATATTGTGGTCCCACGCATTCTTGCTTGCAAGCAAATGGTATTTCTTGCAGATATTCCAATGTACTCTTGTTCCATTTTATCATGCCATTTTTGTACTCAGTTTGTGCAATATTATTTATTGTTATTGTTAGGAGCTGTATATCTGTTAGAAATGCTTGAGGAAGTCAAGGTTTACAAATTTCACTGCCTCCCCAAATAAGCTGCACGTGTCAGCTGGCCATAGTATGGGTCTCAACTAAAAGGAAAAAAGGAAAAAAAAATATTTGTTTCAAGTGCATTGAAGAGAATGCGTGTTTAGAAAAAACATTTTACTGAACATACTGTACCTTTTAAGAATGAATTTTGTTTCACTTTGTATTCTATTTTCTGGGCAAATACATGGAAAATTTGTACAACGGATTCATACTCACCTACTGCATTCT